TAGAATCAATTGAATGTCAATAGTATCCTCAATAGCACACTTTAGTAGCCACTATCTTAGGCTAATGAAACAAGACAGGCAGTCAGGGGCAGCTTCTGGCCACTCTGGGGGCATGGCATTTACATGATGCATGCCCCCGGATTGATTGAAAACCACCCCAGGGCCCCCTAAGGTGGCCCAAATCAATCAATCACTCAATCAATCAATCTATTAATAATAATAATTAATCAAGCATGAGTGGTAATTTTCTTTAATAATTAGTGGGAGAATTTAATGAACTTAATAAAAATGTAACTCCTATGAAGTGACATGATCTACGACTCCATTCAAAATTCCAGTGGCAGCATTTTGAATCAACTCTTCAAGATCAGAACCACAAGGCACACAGAATGGTTCTCGCTGAATACACCAAAAATATGGAAGCATCCACCTGAACACTCTCCAGAAGAATGTATTCGTTTTGTTAGGAGTAACCAGGATTTAAAAAAAAAAAAAGACTTTAAAAAAATACAGCCACTAATGCAGGACACATACATGGGTGAGCATTAATTTATTCAGAGCCATATATCCAGTATGTCTCATCTCAACATTTCTGCCACAAATGTTCAACCACTATGCTGTTTTTCATTAGTAATTTCTAGTCACACCTACTACCGGTGCAGTAAGAGACTGGGGGGAAAAAAAAGAGTGAATTATAATTGGAGTCCAGTGGTTGCACTTTCCTATATATTAGCAGCCTCCTAAAGACTGCAATATTCCTACTTAAGTTGCATTTGCCCAGGTAACATCCAGCTTCCAAAGAAGAGGGCTCTGAGCAATCATGCTACCACTAACTTTTCATATCAGCAGCCTAACAGGCAATTAACCACTAGGATACAGAAGTACTATGTCACCACTGAGTGGCTAAACTCTGGTTAGAGTTTAGACATCTGCTTTCTTTAGTATTTTTTTTTCCTCCCAGAAAAACATTCTGAACTCAAGCATCACATGTAAACATACCTTTTAGCTTGTTATGGAAGAAATTAAACTGGAGAGAACAAAGCTCTTGCTGTGCTTGTTTTCATGAGTCTGCCAATGAAGGAAGTGAACATACTGAAGAAACACTTCTATAAAAGAAGGTATTCTGACAATTTGTTTGTAAGTTCAGGTTCATTTAACCCTAATCTTCAAAGGGAGAGACAATTTGTTACATTGTCACCTAACAGTGGTAAACAAAGGGGCTATGCAGACAGGCGGCCCTGGACCACCCCAGCTAGCCGTGAATCGGGGCCGCGGCAACCACACGCCATAGCCCCGATCCTCCCTTTTGCCGCCGTAAGAACTGGTGCGTGGCTCTGTAGCACCCTTTCCGGCGCACCATATCAAAACGCTGTGCCGGAAGGGCATCCTGACGCTGTGTGCCATGCGTAATGGCACGCAGCGTCAGGATGGCATCAGTGTGGGGTCGGTCTCTGCCCATCTCTGCCTCCAGGCCAGCCCTTTGAGCCCAAAGTCTCCAAGTTTCAGCCAATATCATGCACAGGTTTAAATATATATATACAGATATACACACACATACAAGAAATTGTCCCAAGAAATCTAATGCTTGTGTGTCAATTACTTTTTCTTTTATTTTCCCCAAACAAAGCAGACTGATGGCTAGTCAGAAATAGTACTCTGCAAGTGAACAAGTGTTTTCTGCCTGTGGGTGTTTCAATATTAATCCCTTCATTCTGCACTCACAAAAACTCCTGCAGATTTGGAGCATTTCTATACTTCATAATACACTGGAATTTCTATTGGCCTAGAAAATACTCCAGATTAATGTACTCAATCCAAGTTTTTTTTTATATATCTGTCTGGATGAGGGTTAAGCAAACTTAATTTGCTTAATCATTTCAATCTACCATGAAAGGAATCATTTTGTAATTTGATGTTAAGGTGGCATGAAAACCTGGGCATACAGATTTCTTTTTAAAAAACAAAACAAACAACAAACAACAAATTATTGCACTTAACCATATCAGTTATCAATGGAAGTCTTTAAAGTTGATGATATGGGATGGAGTTTAAGTTTGTTATGAAAAATCACACTGCTTCAACTTGGGTAGTTGTTACTATTGTTCTGTCGTTTAGTAAAATAAATCTGATAGTCTGTAAGATTATGCAAGATAATATTCTCTCACCAGACAATTAAAAATCATATACATACTCAAACCCCACTGAGGTCCTTCTGATTTAGGGCCTTTGCAGACTGCCAGAAATAGTGCAAATTGAGTCCACTTTAACTGCCCTGGCTTAGTGCTAGGGAATCATGGGAACTGTAGTTTATTGTGGCACCAGAGCTCTCTGACAGAGAAGGCTCAATGTCTCAGAAAAAAAACCACACAATTCCCATGATTCCCTAGCACTAACCCTAACCCTTAAAGTGGATTCAATTTCCACTATTTCTGGCAGTCTGCAAAGGCCCTTATTCTCTACTAACTTCAAATATTATTACTTTGTTATGCATCCCTGTTCTAGGAGAGATTTCTATCTCTAGGTTTTAAAAATGGGCTGAAATACAGATTTTGACATTTTAAAATTATCAGAACATACCAATTTATTTGGACACTAATTTTTTTTTATCAAACCTTGTACCACACATCTCATGGGAAAGCAACTAGTTTAGACATAGAAATCCGAGTTTTGAGCTCCTAATCATCTCTGAAGCTCATTAAGAAGCCTCAGGCAATTCAAACATAAAGCTGCTACAAGCTCCTTAAAGAAAAAAGAAGGGGAAAGAAGTTAGTGATGATGCTACAGTATCTCCCATTATGGATTGGCTTTTCTGCCAAATCCTGCCCACACATGTCATGTGGCAAGTGTTGACAGATAGTGTACAAAGTTGGTTAGCAGCATTTTACTGTGTGTTAATTCACAATCTTAAATATTTGTTATATATCTTTTCTAACTACATCAGAATTAAGTTCAAATATTTATTGTTTTTGCACAATGTCCTTTTAAAATTAAAACTATTTAAGGCTAGAGTTTTTGGAGAAAGCAACATATACTTTCATAATGATCCTTAACACTACAGCAAAGTCAATCATAGAAAGTCCTTCAAAAATCTCTGAGAAAATGCTCTTTTGCTCTATATACGGTTCTGTTCCAGGTGTCCTATCTTCATTCAAAATGTAGTGCACTCACTTAAGGTGTTTTTCAAGCATTACTTAAGTGGTACTTTCTTTATCACAACTTGTAATATAGACCAGTGGTGGCAAATGCAGTTTACATAAATAATTCCTATATAACCTAAAATGGCTTTAGCTCTATTTTCCCGAGATGAGGAGCAGGAATCAACACATTGCAAGCCTGGCACTTATACTCCTGTCCAGATATACCACAATCATCTGGTGGTAGCTTGTGTCATTTCTACTACAGGTGGGGCATCACAATCAAGGCCAAATGAATTAGATAAACTGAAGTGGATGATGTGCTCAGGTACTGAAGTCTCTGCTTTAGGATAGCCTTTAAAGGAGATATGCTTCTAGTCCCATTGCATGGCAATAGACAGGATGGCCACATCCTAGTGGCAGTAAGATATGGGCAATTAAGAGGACATTGGAGGCCAAACCATGACAGACAAGGAGACGGACAGATTTTGATAACATTTATCTATGGTGCTAAGCACAACGGCAAAAAGAGCTGGCATTTCGGTGGCTTGGGGGTGTGGCACCCGCCCACCCCAACTCTGTCTCTGAACCAGCATCATGGTGCCTGCCCGCCCAAATGGCAGGCAGCGTGGGAATGCTCCTGTAGCACAGCAATTACATGCTGCACGCCACAGGAGCAGAGAAGAGCTGTAACCGTGGCAAAAAGGGTGCCTTTTTTCTGGTGCAAGCAGGACCAGCATTTTGCAGTTTCTTTTTGTGCCAGAAAAATGGCAGATCGGGGCCGTGGCGTGTGGCTGCTGCAGCCCTGATCCAGCGAGCAAAGGGGCGGCACAGAGCCACCCCTATGTAACTTATAAACTTCTGACAAAAGATACACCCTCTGTCTCTTGAATAAACATAGCAACAATGATCTTAAAGCATAAACAAGTCAGGAAAGCAACACCCATGAAATGTAATCGATTTGAGACTGTCTGAAATGACAGTGCCCGCCATGATGGATCCAATTACCAGGGCAATCCCAGCCTGAAGAACTTCAAGGAATGTGGAAGATCCATTAAATGAATAACTTTAACAATAGTGATATTTAGTTCCAAGGAAGCAAACAGCTTAGGAGTGTTACTTAAGTCTCCTAGCAACTATAATAAGTTAGCCCGAACTACCCACAGACCAAAAAAAAAAACACAAAAACTATAATACTATTTAGTTCAGTAGAGTATCAGTCGTTTAATTTCTAGGGGAACAGCAATAGTAAAGAGAGAGAATGTGTTAGAAGAAAATTAAATAGAAACAGTTGAAAGTCAAATTGCTGTAGGAAGTATAAAAAATATTTAAACATACCACAAACAGATGAAACAGATTTGTCACTAAGAGAGAAATACACATACCCAATCCAACTATGAAAACCTATATTCCAAAACTAACTTCTACAGATACATCATTTTCTATATCACAAACTTCTGGCCAAGTTTTATCTTCACGCCCATCTTGGTGGGAAAAAACTGTGCACTTATTTTGTTTTATAAAAACAGCTTTAGTTGGATAAGAGAGCTATGGAAAAAAGACTTTAAGTGACCAAAACCTTATCTGGGTTTTAAAAAAACAGAAGATCATAACTCTGTTAAAAATGCCTAGTTTAAGTCAATGCCCATTTTAAGAGGAAACATCTTGGACACAAAAAGAGCTAAAATAATAAAGTCATAAAAGCATCCTTCAAAAAAAGTGGATTTAAACACTGTATTCATATACAGTATTTGTTGTTCAAGTCATTTCCAACTCATGACAATCCTAAGGCAAATCTATTGTAGGGTTTTATGAGCTGAGAAGGTTTGACTTGTGACCTGCCCAAAGTCACCCAGCGTGTTTCTATGGCCAAGCAGGGAATCGAACCCTGATCCTAGTCCTAGTCCCAGTCCTATGCTCAAACCACTACACCAACTGGCTCCTATATTCTATATAGACAATACTGAAGTAAAACACTCATACCTCGATTAATTTAAGAGGGATTTAACAGAGGGAATAAAGAAAGATGCTTCTGAACTGTACTACCTAATGAGTAAGAAATCACAGGGAATATATTATCATTTCACTTGGAAATTGTAATCACCATTAACCTGTAATAAAATGTTAGCTTCCATCAAGCAATGGAAGGCAGCCAAAGGAGCCAACAGCACACAGGATATGGTCCAAACCTCAGACAAGCATGTTGACAGAAAGCTCCAAGGCTAGTATTTTCAAACATGAAAATTAGCTGCCTTGAGTCACAGACTGGGGAGAAAGTGGGAAAGAACAACATACAGAGGAACTTGCCATAAATAGACGAACCAAAGCAGAGATGCTTCACCAAAATATTGGAATTCCTTGAGGGTTTCAACAAGCATACAGAAAGGTTACCCAAGGGGTTACTCAGCATACATAATTCACAAAATATTTTCACTCATATCCTTCAGTAAATGGTTCACAGCACGTTTGAAGAAGCCTCATCAATGCATTTCTCATTTCAATCATTATTTTCTTTGACAACATACTGCTTTTGCTCATCCATACAGTGTGTTCTGCATAAATAGTTACTTTACTATTCTAACCCACATTTACAGTATTATTCTTTACATTTAGGAAATACACTTTGCAAAGAATGTACACACAACAGGCTTTTCCAGGGAATGGAGCAATTGCCCTCTGGAGAAAGGTTATGATGTTTGGAACTGTTTAAATTAGAAAAAAGGTGAGCAATGCTGGATAATACAGAAGTGTACAGAAGTACATATGGCATAAGAAAACAGAACCTTTTCTCTCTCTAATGATACCAGAACCCAGTGTCATCAATTTTAGCTTAATGGTAAGGGATTCAGGATTGATAAAAAGTAAGTGCATAGTTAAAACTGTGGAATGTATTGCCAGATGGTATGGCTGACAATTTGGGATAGCTTTACAAGGGGAATGGAAAAGGAGAATACAAGGATGCATCAATGGTTATAGGAATGTCTGAAGGAGTGTGCCTCTGGGGAATGTGAAATGGAGAGTGCAGTGACAACATACAGTGTTGGACTGGGCAGGCCTTTCATTTGACTCAACATAACTCTTCTTGCATTCTTGTTTTTCATACATCCTATCCACGAATCCATTCCAAAAACAGCTCTTGAAGGTTGATGTTCAATGTAGTAGAAGGTGAAAAGCCCTCATAGTCCCTCTGCTTCTGTGCAGAAGTGTTTCTTTTCAATGAATCACTGAAAAACTACTAGGTAAGTCTGGATAACCATGTGGAAAAATATATATAATAAAGTTCTTTAAAGCAAAGCAGATCAAACACCATCACCTTTGCTTACAAAGGCAGTGTCAATATCACTGTGCTCTTCAATCAGTTTCTGTTCTCGGTAATCAAAAGCATCTGCAAACAATTCAACATGTTTGATTCTCCTAGAGATAAATTTTGACTAAACTATATACAAGTTGTCCCTCTCTGTTCACAGGGGATCAATTCTGGACCCACTTACCCCCGCAAAATAGAAAAAATGCTGATATTAAAGCCTCATTGACTATAGTGGCAGCATGCTCCCACGTGCACCATTTTATTCCTGCTGTCTTGCCATCTGCGGAAACTCAAAACCGCGAATAGGAAGTCCATGAACAGGGAGGGATGACTGTACTACAAAAGAGTTCTTTGTGGCACAAACCACTGAATCAAGAATAAGCTTTAGCGCTAGCTCTTACATCAATGACCCCCTTAACTTTCCTTACTTCCACCTAATGCTTTCACAAGTTATTTTCTGACACATACAGATGTATTTGAGGGAGGCATATCCAACTGTGAGACTAGACTTATATCAAGACAAATCCCAAGTAGACTGGTTACCTCCTTTGTCTTATACCATCTGGAAATGTACTGATTGGATGATTATTTGAATTGCCCTTAGCTAGATCGAAGCTATCTGGATACTTGATGAGGTCCTTAATAATCAGTATAGCCCAATGCTGTAACCTAACACTGCTCATCTGGAAAGAGTTACACTAGAAATGGTTTCAAAAGCCATGAAACTTTAAAGGCAAACTAATGGCATACATTAAGGGTGTTACGTTGTACAGCTTCTACTATAAACCTAGCTAGCATTACAATGTTGCTACAAAGTGAATGGTGGCATGTAATGTAACATGGGAAAAGAGCGCTACATTTCAGATCTTAAAGAAACTACAGTGCAGACCAGCTTCCTCCTGTTTATATCAGCATACGTCCTTCTGTAGTAATTGGGGAAGGAGGTGTCTGGTGAAATACTGCAGTACATGCATACACACCCATACTATACCATATTTGAAAGTGCTGGAGCACACTTTCATGGCCAATCAGTGGTTGGTAGAGGTAGAGGCTCCTGGGCACCACCTGGCTGCAGCTTTACACCTGTGGTGGAAAAACCTTCATCTCTATTCTTAAGCTCAAGCAAGTACACTGGCTGGCAGGAAGGGCAACATCTGTTCCCTTTTCACAGCTGCAAAAATGGAACCAGACAGTTCTTGGGAGTCTCCCGCCTCTACTGGCCACGGACTAGCTCTGGGGATGCACCCTGGTTCCTTCAAACTGATGTTGCACAGCCAGCAGTCACACAAAAGAGTAGATTTGCTCTTCACCACATGTTACAACCTATATTTACCACATTTATTAAGAACATGAAATTATTTTATTGAAACAGTTTACAAGGCCCATCTATTCGAACACTTCCTTCCTACACTGGCTAACCAGTGCTCCAGGATCTTCATGAAGAGGGCATGGTTAAAATAACCATGTTCTTGCACAGATCAACTTTGGAGGCTAGGGTTCAAGCTTGTACTTTGCCTTGAAACTCACCAGGTGACATTAGGCCAGCAATGCTCCTTCAGCCTGAACTGAGGAGAGCCATGCACATCACTTCAAGCTCAACAGAAGAAATATAACATATCAAAGTCTATATTCACACAGAGTGAGACAGAGTTCTGCTCATCATCTATAGAAGCACTGGCCTTTACTAATTCATTTTCAGAAGCAGTAATCTGCACTCTTGCTTGAATTCCCTCTATACAATTAAGGTAAGAACATTAACATGGGGCAAAAACATGAAGACAGAAATATATTCTACCTAGTGTTTCAATTTCCACTGAACACAAGTCTTCATACCAGCATTTTATCATTCTATTTGGCAGCTTACAACATTTAGAACTGTTCTTATCTTTGGCACCAAGCTCAATTCCACCGGACCCCTTTCCTCTATTTCACACACTTAAGTCTTATTCACATGGAGGGGTAAGCAGTTATGTTTTTGCCCTGATTATGTGTAATGTCCTTTGACCTGTCCATGCATTACACTGAATGTTAGAGATAAGGAAGTCTGTGTGGGTTTCTGGATCAAAGGAAATTTACACAAATCTACTACTATGCATGTAGGCTTGTCTGCTTCGGACACTCTCTCAACAGCAGGGATGGAAAGAGGCTTAGGTAAGTGACACGTTATAAACAGTGAGGCCAAAGGCATAACCCTGCAACCTTTCTGCCCACATGACCCTTCACACAAGAACATATTAAGGCAGCTCAAGGATACTCTACTTACAGTAACTATTTTCACATGACATTTGTATCTACAGGTACAATTTTTCAAGTATAATGAAAGAGACACTTAAGCAAGACTACAGAAGTCTGGTATTTAATATCAATGTTACTTACCATCCCACTGCATAATTCAAATTCTATATTTACCATCTGCAACTATTTCCCTTCCATACATAATCTTCAGTTGTCTTTTTGGTAACAATCAACAGCTGCATACTCATAGTGTACTAAGAATTACATGCTATTTTGATAAATACTTCTATGTCTTATCCAAATATACCTGAAAAAACAACAAATTCTAAATATCACTATTAAAAGAGAATTCTTACTCCTTTCTGAGCACTGCTTGCTTAGGAATTAAAATAATGAATTCTCTGGATGTCTACACCCAACATGCAAAGGGATTTTGTAGGAGTTTTGAAACTAACAGAGAAAGAAATCAGTAATGCAAATGTTTTTAGATTTAGGGCCTTTACAGATTACCAGAAATAATGCAGCTTGAGGCCACTTTAACTGTCCTGGCTCACTGCTAGGGAATCATGGGAACTGTATTTTTTTCTGGGACATTGAGCCTTCTCTGTCAGAGAGCGCTGGTGCCACTATAAACTACAGTTCCCATGATTCCTTAGCACTGAGCCAAGGCAGTTAAAGTGGCCTCAAGCTGCATTATTTCTGGCAGTCTGTAAAGGCCCTAAGTCTGCTTCATCAGACTTGGGGGGGTTGCAGACTGCCAGAAATAGTGCAAATTGAGTCCACTTTTAGGGTTAGGGTTAGTGCTAGGGAGTCATGGGAATTGGTTTTTTTCTGAGACATTGAGCCTTCTCTGTCAGAGAGCTCTAGTGCCACAATGAAATACAGTTCCCATGATTCACTAACCCTAACCCTAACCCTAAAAGTGGACTCAATTTGCACTATTTCTGGCAGTCTGCAACCCCCTTTAGCCTACAAAAGGTTATGCTACCAACTCCTTTCTATCAGGTAGTCTCAAAAGCGCTACAAGATCCCTTTGCATACAAATCCAGGGTATGTCTTCCAGTTCTATACTCAACATGTCATTGAGAATATTTATTTTCTATTCCCATAAAATCTTACATCCAGTGAGTTCATTAACTAATTAAAGTTAATTTTTTTTTATAAATACATGTTTAATATTGAACCTATTTAACAAAACTGCAAGCTGTTAGCAAAATTTGAAGACTCCTGCTTAGAAACATTTCCTTATGATTTTAGGCTAATACATGAGGGTTCCACCCCCTTTCACAGCCATTACCTCTAATAAAAGGGAGTGGAAAATTAATTACTACACAACTCTAATTTGTTGCCATTTATGAAGACAGCTTTTTTATTTAGAAGAAATGATACTGTATGTATT